ACAACAATTCGATAAAGCAATAGATTTCAAACAGATACATAAATCTAGGCTCAACAAGCTAAATCTCGTTTTGCTTATTATTGTGTTACTTCTCATTGACGATGATACAATCGATATGATATAGATATATGAGAACTTCACAATATAAAATCTTTATTTGAATTGTTATTAATGTATTTTTCTTTCTTTGGATCAATTAAATAAGACAAGAAAGACGAGAAGAAAAAAAAATCTTTATTTGAACAGTTCATCTATGGTAAAGTTTGACACCTTTGAATATTTCTTGAGTATGCCGAAAAATATTAATACAATTTGATTTTCTATCCGATGCATAATCAAATACATCTCCTTCGATATTCAATACATAATAATTTTTTTTTTAAATATAGACTGGTAACTAAATATTTGATCTTGAGAATTGTTTTCACCTTCTATTACAAATAAATAGATAAACATTAATGACTATATGTATGCTATGTGTAGTTTTTTTAAAGATTATAATCAAACTTATTAGTAAGATAAATATTGTTAAAAAGGAGTCTTTTAGTAGTTCTATTCATTATAATAAGGAAAAGATATTTATTGATATTCACAGTAGTAAATTTTAATGGTCTTGATAGAGGACATAATAGTATATTCTTAGAGAAGATTATCACTAAAGGGACAAGTTTTTTATATCCATAAATTACATCATCAATGAAAATCTTTTTTTTTTTTTTTTTTTATATTTAATTATCGTATACTTTTCAATTGAAAAATGGAATCAAGTAGACGCATTAATTGTCAATATGAATCGTCATTCGTGAAGTAGTTTGTCCTTCATGACTAGAAATTTTTCTTTTGAATAGAAAACCTTCCCTACAAAATATACAAGTTACAAAAAATAATAGTATAAGACGTGGATCAATTTCTTGATGAATAGTAGATGTAAAAATGATGTGAATAAAAAACGCTTTTCTTGCATTATATTACAAATTTAGATTTTTTTTTCTATTAGAATAATCATTCAATTGACAAGATAATATTTATTTTTGTGGTTCGTGAATATTGGTATATTATTTTTTTATGCTATTCACTTTCATTTTTAATCAACAGAGACCTATAATACAAGGAAAGACATCGACAGCATTTGTCATGGTCATATTATGAATACAAACGTATTGAATCACCTTGTATTCAGGGTAGTTGTTGTTGAATAGAGGATGAAATTTTTTGGGTCTAGGACGAAAAAAAAGATTATAACGATCAAATAACCTTCTCACTATTTTTATTGATATCATTATCCTTATTTCTAATACTTTATTGAATTAAGATGAAAGAATATGTCGAATAGAAATAGATAAATAATGATTGAAATTCAAGTATATTTTATTTCTCTATTAATGAAGAAAAATATTGATATTATTCTGACTAAAGTGAAATAATTTTGAAATCTATTGAAAAATGCACATATCAATATATTATTGTTTCCAATAGACTGATTTTGTAAGAAAAATTGACTTTCTTTCGTCAAGAATTTATGTCTGAATCTTTAAATTATTTCATACTTATATTTAATCACTATTTATCGAGAATAATACATTGAATTAGGTTTTTAGTACAACAAACATAATTTGATCTAGCATAGCAATAGGAATTTAACTAATTTTATAGATATGCGTTTCGTTAAAATCGATTTATTCCGTTAAACTTTATATAAAGCTCTGAAATGGTTCATGTGACTCAACTATTGTATCTATGAGTCAACAAACATCACGAGAAACTTGTTATTCAAGCCTGTTACATTAATTATGACATACAAGTATATAATAATCAATTGATTTTGAAATGTATTACATGATAAGTATTGAAGTTAATCAGCTGTTAAGAAAAAAATATACGCATGTTGATAAAACTAGAAAATAAGTTGATTGAAAAGTTTTCTTACTATCTTCTTTAATTATTCTGTTTATGTCAAAAGCTCAATAATGATATTGTATTAGTTGATGCAATCGAAAATTTCGATTGTAATTTTGTTTCTTCTTATCTATTGGATAATTTGAGCATGCGAAAACTAATAACGAAGGCACTTCAATATCGTGTAGAAAGGCTGAGAAAATTTTCTCTCTATATATATTGAAAGTAAAAACAGAACGCTATATTTTTCCAATATTTCATCATTCTTCAGCTAATATCATAATAATAAAATTTCCATAGATACTGTTTATTGTGATATGTAACGATAATACTTAGTGTTTTTATTAATCTCTGATAGAATCTGGATAGAGAGCCATAGTTTTCATCATTACAAAGACAAGATGAAGACGTATCGAATTGCATACTGTTGTTTTTTTTACGTTGCTTGGATGGTTTTTAATTATTTGTCTAAAGTAATATCAGAAGATGGCTTTTTTTTCAAAGGAAAAAAATAGCTTTAGGTATCGATTAGAATAACTATATCACTCTTAAATGACAAGATCTAAACATCTGAACTTTGCACAATTTCATAGATCTTCAAATTAACAGTTCGAATCTGTGCGGGATAATTTTAAATTCATTATAAAGACTTCGAAGAGTAGATTTATTTTCAAAAAGTTTGATTCGATTCAGTCTTCATCTCCTTTTGGCAATAGTGAAAATCAAACCTCTATAATTTGGTTCTATCAAAAGCTATTCAAAATACTAAAGTGTGTTATCATCAGATATCATAACGAACAGCACTCATCGAGATTTTACTATTAAGGTGTTAGTTGAAGAATGATGGAATATTGAAGAAATATAGAGCAGTATTTTTATTATCAGCTCATATAGAAAGAAAGTTCTCTTAACCTTTTCTATGCGGTATCGAAGTGCCTTCACCACTACTTTTGGTATATCACAGGTACTTCACTGATCGATTAGTATTTTATGAAAACAAAACTAATATCTAACAAACTTGAGTCATTTAAAATATCTTTAAAGTTGTCGCCATGTAAATTTAAATAGTGTCATTACCTACAAAGTAAGATAAAACTACTTTGATTGACTAATATCAATAACAGATATGATAGGTCTTGAAATGAAATAATAACTTTGAGTTTTGCTAATGAACTTTCACAATCCAATAGACAGAATGCCTAAGAACATCGTCGACCAGTTACTAATGTTTGAAAATATATTTACGATCATTTATCGATGTTTTATTATATAAAAAAAAATAGAAGAAGGAAAATATTCAATTAACGATATTGTTTAAGATCATCGATCCGAATGGGAAAGTCATTTCATCGATAGAATTGATTTCATAAAATGAAAACAACTTTCATCATTATTGTAGCTTTCAATTGTTTAAGCGAAGAGCAATACGTGACCACATTAATTCTCTATCGCTTATTCGCCCTTGCTCGCATTTCTATTAAATAATTTACATAAATACCTAATGTACGACTAATCAGTAAAAAGTTCATAGGCCAATGATGAATCTAAAAAATAGAATCAATTTGATTCTTTCAACGAAAACGAAACTCAACAGCTGACTTGTTGCAGATATACCACGCGGTATGTTAATAGGTCTTTCACAAAAAACTTATAACGTGAAGCTGTATTCCTGAACAAAAAGATTCTGGAATATTGCTGATCAATTCTTTGTGCCATAAGGGTATGGATCTTCTCTTCATTAACTCACACCCGCACATATATTCGTTCAATGACTCCTACTGAAAATAATACTATTTGATAGAGAATAAAATTTTGTATCTAACACATTCAAGCAGAGAGCCGACATAACCTAGGAAACGAATCTCGGCAAGAAGAAGTCAAATGCTGTGTCAACTTTACTTAAGTCCTATTTTCTCTAAAGCATAATGAATTGTTGATTGTGAAACGCCAAATTATTTTTGCTAATTTCCGTTGATGAATACAAATTCGATTTCCAGCAGCATTTCGCAAACATTTCAGAATTTTTCTATCGTTTGATGTTGAACAACAATTTACTGAAAGCTCTTCAATACTTATACCAATTTCATAACGTTTTATTATATTATAAATGATTGGTTTTATAGAGTTTTCTTGAATAAAATGCTGTACTATATAACCTTTGTTCAAATTAATTTTCACTTCGAGAATAGAATAAACACGTTAACGATAATCAGTCATTTTTACAACAAATAATCAATTGAAGGAAAAATAATTTATTCTAATATCTTTTGAAAATATGTTTCAACCTGTAACATTTTGTCAAAAAACTGTCTCATCACCTATTATAATACTCTTTTTGTTCGTAATTATGGCAATTAGGAAAGGCGAGATAAAATTTTCTTTTCTCTATTTAGAAAACCTAATTATGATTTTCTAAAAGAAATTTTGCTCTTGAATTTGAACACATCAAAAAATAAGTTCTATTTAAGAATAGCAAACATGATTTAAGGAAAATGTTTCATCGATTTTTTTATTTTTTCTCAATTCTTCGTTTTGTTTCTATCACTTAAAAAATCAATAAACGATCTTATAGAAGAAAATATCTCTGATGTTGGAACCTATATAAATTCATCCATGAGATATTCTAAAATGCATTACTGATAGGAAATATATCGTTGTTATTTTCAAGCTTCTTCATACGTATTTTAGTCATAATCAGATTGCAAGCAATCAATAGTTTAGTCATTTGTTGCCATTTCATTTGTAATGATTTGGTGTTAAAAATCGTAAAATATTTTTGCGATAGGAATATTGTCTAAATGTGACTTTTTATATATTATCTATATTTTATAACCTACTAGAAAAATTAAGAGTATGTATCGTTAAATTTTCAAATAAAAGTACAGTAAAGAACAGCCATTTTCTATTTCAAGTTTGAAATCGAAATTTTCTTCATATGTAAGTACCATGTATATATATATATATAATGCAATTGCTGGTTTTTATTTATTGTAAATAAACAAAAGGCAATGAAGAACATCATTCGATAAATACGACGATGGAAAAACAAGATATGAGACACATTGATTGTTAGTTGTGTTCAATGGTCATCTTTTTTAAAAACTTTACTTCTTCTTTTGTTGTTGTTGTGGTTGTTTTTCTTGTTTCTTTTCTTGTTTAGTAACAGTCTTGGCTGGTGCTTGTTCTTGTGATTTTGATGATGGAGCAACAACAGATGTTTGAGCTTGTTGTTCAATAACTTGTTGAACAGCAACATTTGTATCATCATCTTCTAGTTGTTTACCCATAAGATCAGTACGTTTTTGAAGAATACGTTGTTCACGACGAACACGTTTTTCCTTGGTACGTTCACGACGAGCAACGGCTTGATCCGAAAGCATTTTCGTACGTTGTACTTCTGCTTTTTTCTTATGAATAAATTCCATTAATACACGTTTGTTTTTGAAAACATTACCCTTGCATTTCAAATAAAGTTCATGATATCTAATTAAATAAATTTAGTTTTTTTCTTTTCATTTCATAGGAATAACATACAAATGACGATCAATTTTTTTAGCTGCACGATATTTTTTCAACAAACGACGTAATACACGCATACGACGAATCCAAACAATCTGATAGAAAAAAGAAAAAAAAATGTATATAAATGATTAACAGAATAGAAAACTTATATAATTTTTAACGAACCTTTACTGGCATACGAGCATTAGCTGTACCTTTTCGTTTACCATGGCCCATATGTCGACCTTTACGACGAGCTTCATTATTTTTACGTGTACGAAAACGTGAATGAACTGCTACTGGTTTTTTAATAATTAAACCATCTTTAACTAATTTACGTACGCTTTGTCCTATGTAAAACAAATAATTAAATAATTTGTTTACAATAGAAGAAATAAAAAATCAATTGTGTTCTTTTCATTTGTTGGTTGTCAATTAAATAAAAAAAAATCGACAAAGTATCAAAACAAACCAAAAGGAAAATTTATATTGTATCCTTCTTGTGTATCGATCAATGCTATGTGCGTAAAAAAAACTATTTTTACATCAAAGATCGATGATTGTTGAAGGAATATGTATCTCATATTTAATGAAAAACTAACTTACGGGTATTAGCATTTGAAATTTCGTTGGCTTCATTTGGATCAAGCCAAATTTTCTTTTTACCACATCCTAAGATTGATGAAGCGAGTCGCTTTTGTACTCGGAGCGAACTAAATATGTTGAAAAAATAAACGAATTAGATGTGATGTGATCATCATATTGTACCTCATTTTTTTTTAAACGATGATTTTGATGATAATTTTTTTCAAAAAGCACCGATTTCGTTACATTGAACAGGGTCGTCAGACAAGTTTAATCCATGAATTTTCATTGGTCCGACATTGCATTATTTTATGGATGATTAAAAATGAGGAGTCTAAATCGAAATCATATCATAACATAATTTATGTATATTTTATAGCAGAATTATTAAGATTTAAATTAAATTTACTCATAAAATATTTTTAAAAGAAATAAACAATTACTGTTGATTTCAATATTCTTTAATTGGCCCAAAATTGACCGGTAGTAATCAGCGGGAATGAAAGGGGAGGAGAAACAAAAAACAACGTTTTAGACCATCGTAATTCTTAATAACATCTAGGGGTGCTTATCGAAGGCTATGATAAAAATAACAATTGTAACTAGCTTCTTATCTTATTGTGCCTCCCTTTTGCCATTTTATGGTTCGTCTTTTTCGTGTTACCGCTCTGTATTTTTTTGTTGTAGAGAGACACACAAAAGACTGACTCGTCGTTGAAATAGTATAAACATACGATAGGTGTTTGAACATTAGAATGACTTCTTCACTCAGCGAAAATATTGCTCTTGTTCTTCATAAAATCGATGATCTACGTGTGGTATGATGTTCAAAAAACAAGAAAAATTTCTATTTTCATTATTTTCAGGAACCAGTTTCAATCAATGAACCAAAAGATGGAGGTAATTTGAATATCGGTGAGAGGACATTTTTTATTGAACATTTACCAATCTTATAGAGGTACTACTTGAAATGCAAACTGTTGGTATCTGTGGTAGTGATGTACACTATTGGGTATAGTTGAATCTTTTCTTATTTTTATTTTAATAAATAACAAATTCATTAATAGAAACAAGGTTGCATCGGAGATTTCGTTGTTCGTGCTCCCATGATTCTTGGTCATGAAAGTGCAGGCAAAGTAATCAAAGTTGGACCAAATGTAAAACATCTTAAAGAAGGTAATTTATGGACATGAGTGTTGGAGACTTTTAATAGATATTCATTTCAAAGGTGATCGTGTGACAATTGAACCTGGTGTACCTTGTCGTCGATGTAATTTTTGTAGAACAGGTCGTTATAATCTTTGTGCTGATGTCATTTTTCTTGCAACACCACCTGTTCATGGAAGTATTGCACGTTATCATACTCATGCTGCCGATTTTTGTTTCAAGTAAAGTCAAACTTTTGTTTTTTGGAGTAGCTTTGTTTTTTATTTTTGAAAAACTATGCTTTAATAGATTACCAGATCATGTCACGTATGAAGAAGGTGCATTTTGTGAACCATTGAGTGTTGGTGTTCATGCATGCCGTCGTGCTGGTGTTACTATTGGATCAACAGTATTTATCACTGGAGCTGGTAATATCTATTGTTACTAAATATATGTAATATAATCTGTATATATCTAAAGGACCAATCGGTCTTGTTAGTATGTTGGCAGCAAAAGCAATGGGTGCAGATGCAATTATTATGACGGGTAAGAATTTTGTTCGAAGTTTTTTTATTTCATTTTTATCTCATTATATTATATTTAAATAACAAAGATATCAGTCAATCGAGACTTGACTTCGCAAAAAAAGTTGGAGCTACTTATGTTATTCTTGCTGATAGCGATGCACAGAAAACAGCTCAACACGCAATAGAAACTCTTGGATCTATGCCACATATTTCAATCGAATGTTCAGGTGCTGAATCATCTATTCAAGCAACATTCTATGTAACTCATTATTTTAATATTAAAATAGAAGTATGATATTTATCTTTTATTTTCGAATATAGGCAACAATGTCAGGTGGTGTTGTAGTTCTTGTTGGTCTTGGACGTCCATTAGCATCATTACCAATTGTAAATGCTGCTGTTCGTGAAATTGATATTCGTGGTGTATTTCGTTATGCAAATTGTTATCCAGCTGCATTAAGTTTGATTGCATCTGGTCGCATTGATGTTAAACCATTGATAACACATCGATATAATATAAATGAATCTGTTCAAGCTTTTCAAATGGCTGAAAGTGGACAAGCCATTAAAGTTATGGTAAGTTTTATATTCTCGTTCATTTGATACTTTTTTCTCACTAAATCTGTTGAAATATTTTAGATTCATTGTGGAAACGATGCTCAACATTAATCAACAGTTCTTTAATTTTATTGGTTTATATTCGAGCACTAGTTTCATTATATTCAGCATACTGATTATTTTATGCTATTCTTATATAGATTATCTTCCGTTCTTTTTTGTCGCTTTTAATAACAATAAATATATCATAGAAATAAGATTGATTATGAAATAATCTAGAAATATGTATATTTATCTAACTTGTTTGACATAAGACAAAAAAGTTTGTGAGAACAAATCCATTGGGACTAAAATGTGAAACGCACATATTCCATATACAAAACATACACAATGATCTTGAAGTTCAATTGCTTCAATATATAATGGAGATGTAAGGTTGGGAGCCAGAAAACTTCGACTTAAAAGTTACACTCGCTATTTTCTTCGAAAATATATGTGAGTTCTACAAAAATGATATGATTTTTTTTGCATCGATTCATGATCAGTAGAAGTCTTCTGAATTTCAATGGTTTTTGTTTAGCATATATGAATAAAGTATTTTCAACTAGGACGAGAACAAATTATGGTAAACTCGTGATTAAGTTCTTGAGATGATTAATATGAAACATTAACGAAAGACAAATAAATAAATATATATATATTGTTTTTATTTTGTTTAGATATGCATTATGTTTGATGATGTTGAATGCAAGTTTCATCAGTATTGAAACGAGAATATATATATAAGAGAAAAGATCTTATACAGTATAACCAACATGAACAATTAAACAAAGAAAACGATAGTGAAAAAGAAAACAAAAAATGAATATTTTTCAACAAATGAAACATCAATCATCTTCGTCTTCATCATTGTTGACGCGTCTTGTTGGCATTTGTTTCTTTTTCTTACTTGCTAAACGTTTTCGTTTTTTACTTAAATAGGCATCAATTCGTCCGGTATTCTTTAAATCAGTATAAGTAGTTGCCAAATTCATTACTTTGCGCACCTCTATTAATTGAAAATGAATATATTTAAATCAATTAATTGATTTCATATTCACCTTTAGTTATATAAGGTGTAGATTCACCAGCATCAGCAAGTTTTTCACTTTTTTCTTGTATATCTTTAGAAATTTTTTCAACTCGATCTAAATCATCGACATTTTTAACTTGAGATTTCTATTGACAAAAAAAAAACATGATTCAATATTAAATTAAGAAAATACTGTAATCACAAAAAGTCTCGTTATCAGATAAAAAGTATCTAAAATTTAATCTTTTGGTCTCATGGTTTAACCGATAATAGAGAACGCTGGACTCTGAACGCAAGGACTAATCAGGACTTGATCGGCTTTCATAAGGTGGAGCTTGAAGGTGAACATAGATTTTTCTTTAGACGACAATCTCTCATGACTTTAGACCACTCATTCAAGAGATCAGTGATGTCTCTATCACCAATAATAATGCCATGTCGAACGGTTTTATTTTGCCTGAATTATAAAGTAGTCTCTACATGAGAGTTGATGGAAATCATCGAAAAGTGATTCATATCTCTAATGAATTTTAATCGTGTGCCTTGAAATTTTCTCTAATGAGTGGCCTGTTCGAATCGAGGTTTTCTTGAAAATTGTATGATCGCAGTCATCAATGAAAAAGAAACCCATGCTGAGATTGTCCTAGATAATGGAGGCTTCCTCACACTTCTCGATTACAGTGGATTCGAGTACTCTGTGTCTTGTGACTACTTTAAAATTAAAATCATAAGAACATACAAGACGACTAGTGACTGCTTTTAGTTTCATTTTTTCAGTTGGATCTTGACATGTTTTCAATTGTTTTTTAAGTTCCTAAATTAAATTGCATAAAATAATCAAAAGAAAACAAATAAATATTATATCTTACATTTAATTCTTTTCGTCGCATATCCGTAATAAAATGATAAGATTGTCGAAATTCTCTAGCATTATAATCACCAAATTGTTCACTAAAACGTGGATCAACAAGTTTTCGTTTACCACGCATATGAACAGGAACTTGATCACGTTTAGATGGTCGTCGTTTTGATGACATTTCCATAGGTCTATTTATTAAACATATTATTTAGAATAAACAAAATAAAAGCAGTGAATCAATTATGACATCTACTCTGATTTTGATATTGGTTCATTCAATATCTTTTTATTTAGAGTTGTTGATTTTTTTGTTTCATTTGTTGCTTGTTCATTATCATCATCTTCATCTTTCTCAACTTCTTTGTCGTTTTGTAAAGCTTTTGTAAAACTAATAAAAAAAAGAATTATATGAATTGAACGATGGAATTTAAATTCTTAATCTATTACTTTTTCGTTCCAAGACGTTCTTGAATTTCGAGCATATCTCTAAGAGATACTTTAGCTACTTTATTGCGAAAAAACATAGCTTATAATCTGAAATAGAACTAAATCAAGTAAGTTGATTCTAGTGAGAATAAAAAACAAAAACAAAAACAAAAAACATTTAGAAACTCATTCGACAATTGTTTGTATTTTTGTGCGTTTTGCCTTCTTCCCATTGCTCATAGAAGGCATTCGGTATTGAATATTTATTAGTAATGATAAATGATCGATTTGTAATAGATACTCTTAATTGTTTCTTTTTTGATATATTTTTTAAACATTCAGTTTTAATTGATGTAGATAATATTGCTGGTTTATTTGAATGTGCACTAAATAATATCACAGAAACATAGTTGTATGATCATTTTAATTAGTGTTTAGATATAAATGAACTCTCTAATTATAATCGATCAAGTTCCGGTTGTTTTACTCAAACTGTCTGATAGGAAAAATCTTAATTTGAAAATTGTCTTTGAAAAAAAAATAAAGGTTTGATGATTTCTCACATTTTCAATAAAAACGAATTGGCTTTTTTTTTTGCTAAATACGACATATCGTGAAATGAGTAAAACGATGCCCATCAATCGATCTGAGTAAAACCAGTCTGTTTTGTTCTGAATTTATAAAAATGTTGAAAATATAAACGTTATGATAATTGTAAGTTTTTATTCCTAAATTAGAGGATCTTGTGAGAGATGTGAAAAATGACTTGAATATAAATTGTTAAGAATATATGTCAGAGATCTGAACTTGACTCAATTGATGAAATGCAAAGAGCATAATAAAATGGGTGATATCTATTGATTGGTTTACATGGAACTAGAGTCTAGTTCATATATTCTCTTTATTCGAAGTTTAGTTGAATGTTTGTTTCTTAAGTTTGCAAGTAATTATGTTGAAGCACAAGAAAATCTTCTCTAGAATTTCAGGCTCAAGTCGTTGAACTATTGCTGGATTATGATCTGCAAAGAATAGCAAATGGTTTTTAACTCCATACCAATGACCGTAGTAATGCTCCACAGTTCTAAACAGGATTGATGCACTGCCATAAAATTAGTAACGTGAATAAATAGAAGATAGTACTGTATAATAAGTAATCGTCTGATTCGCAAAGTTTTTTCTTTCCAAAGTTATGAAACTTAAAAGGAATATATATTCCATTAATCCTTATTTCTTTTATATTTGGCCAATTGGGCCGAAGCCCTGATCTCTGATTAACATTCCTGACAAAATACATGCACACAGATGTTCACATCTCTAGCATGTATGGTAGTTAAGACTCGTCCGATTAGGAAGAAAGTTTTGTCCATCATTGTAATTCTCTAGCTATTTTTTTCTTGAGTATTCAATTAACCATGAAAGTATTAAGAATAATTTGTATGATGTAATTTAGTCTTTCATTTAAATTGTTTCTGTAATCTATCACTTCAATTTCAACAAATAAAATACTTCATATGTTTTTTGAAGATTCATTTTTTTGAAATACCTTTCATCGAATTCATCAATCAATATTTGATCATTATCATTCAATAAATTAACGTGATACCATGTTGGTAATAATCTTTTTGTTTTATAGCAATAAAATTTATATTTATTATTCGATGATTCTAGAACAAATTGTTGATTTATATCATTCCAAACATGTTCAAGTGTAATCATTTTATTAAAATCAATATTTTGCCAAAATTTTTTATATTTTCCATCATTTGTTCGATGAATTAATTGAATACGTTTTAATAATGTTTTCATCAAACAAAATAAAAAAAGACAATCTTAAAAAAAAACAAATTGGACAAACAAAAATCTTAACTTCACTTATACAAGTTAAATTCATTGTTTTTTTTTTCTTAAACTTTTTATAGCAAAAAACAACAAAAAGACATCGCAACCTGATACTTTTCTTTTGAAATAAGAAGAAGAAGAACAACAACAACAACAAAACAAAAATGAATGAATATAATTTTAGATGAAACGACGGAAAATAATATATCTTGTTGAATGTCGCTTTGATAATAATATTTACGAAAGCAAATAATAAATAATTTTACAATAGATGAATACACGTAATGATTTCGTTATTTGTTTTTGTTCCATTTTAGTCTTGAATACAATTCAAGAGTATATACAAAAATGTTCTGCTTATTTATCTTTCATATAAAATATACAAAATGAAAAAAATTTATCAAGATTGGTAATTCGATATTGGTGAAATTTGTAAATAACATATTAATTCAACAATCGACGGATATAATGAACATTCATCTAGAATAATAACAAACAAGAAAAAATTCATTTTATATAAGAAAATAAAAACAAATTAATATACATTTCTGTGTTGTTTCACGTGAATTATTAAGAATTTTCATAACATTGTGATATTTATGTTCATTACCCATTAATGGTTGTTTATGAATTTTATCCCATAATGTTGTTTGATTTGCTGTTGTATCATGTGTTAATGGAACAATAAATGATGATGTATTTATATTACCAGACATTTGAAATTCATTTCGATTTAATCGAGGAATAAATTGAAACTAAATTATTTCAATATTAGATATTATCATGAATAATAGAAATTAAAACATACAAGGAAAATAGATGGTTGACCAGGTTGACAATGGATTGCTGGATAACCAACTTGTGTAAAACAATTTCCTTGTGGTATTGTTAAACACCAACGTGCGCGCCATAAATGATGATTTTCAGGATTCTAAAAAAAAAAAACAAAAAAATTAATAAATATAATTTTATAATTTTTTTTTGTTAATAACCAAATTTATTAAAAAAAATTATTTTCTATGAATAAAATTGATATAAATGAAAAATTTTCTTAGATGTTTCTGTACAATTCGAAATAAATTCACATTCAAAGAATAGTTTTATATTTAATCAGAAACAAATGTCTATACTTTCAAGTTGATAACACTTTCTTGCAGAAAATCGAATTTCTTTGCTTAGAAGTGACTGGATATCATGCAAAAAAAGGATTTTTAAGAATAAAAAAAAAACATTTTTAGAGAATTTCGACGAAAAATACCTGAGGGGTATCCTTATCCTCATTTTTTGTCCGAAATAGTTTTTTTTTACACATCATTCAATGCAGTTTAATGTACTGATCCCGAATATACTATTTCTGTTGATTGAATGTCTTTTCGAAGTCAGAAAAATTAAAAACTACTTGAAAAATCTAGGCTTTTGTGGAAACTCACCGTAGAGATCAGGAATTTTTGCGCTAGCAGAGATTAAAGGACAGTACATAGAGATAAAAACTATAGGAATAGCTAGAAGATTAAAAGTTCTCTTTAAATATATATTAATTTAAAAATATTTCGATGCTTTGAGCAATAGAATATTCTCAGCAAAAAATAGATGAACGTCAATAATAATAAAAAATTTCATAGAAGTTTTCGGAAGATCAAGAAATTTATATTAAAGATAAACAATAAATCTGTTGATAGAATATATAAATCGATAGAGAACTATATTTTCTATGCATGTATTTAGAACTAAAAGGTTTCAGTGCTCTAGTAGATACGAAACAAGTAATCTCAAAATTTCTATGAGAAAAAAAAAAGTTTTATTCACTAATTCTTGAAATTTATCCAATTTTTGCACAAGATACATGAAATGAATACTATATTTGTTCGATAGAGTTATCAATGCTCTATTCAACTATATGAGAATAGTTACAATGTGCAATGTTATAGAAATACAATTAACAGAGTAAAACAAACAAAAATTATATTATTTACTGACTTAAATTCATATTTTTGAAAGCAAATATAGATTTATCGTCCAATTTTGCGATAATAATTAATAAAAATAAAGCTACTAACAATTAGGACTTATTTAAAATGAAATATCGATAACGCTGAATAATATCAAAAGCATTTATATCTGTTTAAAAAGTTTATATAATCAAATTATTCTAGAATTCTTATTATATTAAATTTTCAAATTAGATCAATACTATTCATTTAAACTTCAATATAAATCAATAGAATATTAATTAACATAATTAAAATTTACCTGTTCAAGTCGAATAATTTTTACAAGATCACGTAATACACGTGGATGAATATGTGAAAGCATTCTTTCAAATGCTCCCATAGCTGTAGTTCGATTTTGTGTTGCTGCTAGTGATAATATATCCATTGTTGGCATAATTATTTGATTTTGAGAATTTGATAATATTGAGAAAGGAAAAAAATTTTCATTAAAAAATATTTCCATTGTTTGAAGTTCATCTGGTAACCAACCAAAATTCGATTGTTGTTGTTGTTGTTGTTGAGATGATGAATCAATTAATGATGTAAAATGAATTCTATATGTTGCTGTATTAATATCAAATATAAATGCAATTTGTAATGATAAATGTTCTATTCTATATGTATCTTGTTCGTTTGTTAAAGAACGAACCTAAATCAATGAAAAAGATCGATATTTAAAACAAAATTTTTAATTTCATATTACTGTTGGATTATTTGCATCATATGATTCAGAAACAGCTCGATTAAACTGTTTAACAAGAACTGATGATGCAAGAAATGATTCGAATTTTGACCATTGTTGTCCATCTGGTGTAAAAAGCATTCGAAAAAATGTTTGTTGACTCATATAAACAGGATATTGTTTTGTATATAAATGTCGATTGTAACTGTGTAATGTTGATGTTTGTTTATTAACTAAGAAAGAAGAATTCTGAAATAAGAAATAAGAAAAAATATTATTATTACTTATGTCATCTGATCGAATATTTAATGGAGTTGCTACAGATGTAATTGTTGCATTTGCAGGTGTACCAGGTGATGGACCAAGAAATGAACCCGGAAATGATGAACCAGATGGTCGAGGTGCTGGACTAATATATGGCATTTCTAAAAAAAAGAACAAAACACTTTTATATTAACAAAATTTCGAAAGTAAATATACCATAAATAGTTCCTGGTGATTGTGTAGTTATACCCATTGGTGATGGAGCTGTTAATTGTGTTGTTGGAGTATTATTTGTCATTGGTGAACCTATTGTTGGCATCATCAAAGGTGAACCAGTACTCATAAAACCGGGACTTGGTGCAATTATTGGTTGTGATGGTGAATTAGCTTGTTGTTGAGATTGACTACTAGGACCAACACTAGCTGGTGTCAATGGATTGAGCGATGAACCGGGTGTTCCAACTGGATGTAATAAATGTGGAGTTTGTGCATTTCCTGAAATTAGTGGTCGATTTGATGGAGGATTTGTTATTGTTGTTGTTGACATTGAAAATGATGGTGGAGGTAATTGTAATTCAGGTAAAATAAAATCTCGATCACGAAAACGATCTGTTATATGTGTAAATTCAAATGTTAAACCCCGATCATCAGCATATTTAGATAAAAATTCCTATGGAGAATAGTTTTGTTTTAATTTTAATTTCAGTTTTTTTTAATTAAAAAAAGAAACTTTTACTTTAAGTCTAGGTATTGGTGAAAGCTCCGGTAATACACTGTTTAATTGTACACTGAATGCGCCATCACGTATAAGTATGAGATTAGGTCCACATATTTGAATATCAAGTGCAAACATTTGACCAAAAATAAGACGCCATCGAAATTCAGTATAAGGAACAAATGTAAGTATTGGTTGAGTACATGAACCCTATAAAATATTTCAAAGTGATCATGGATGAACAAAAAAAGAAGAGAAAGAATAGAGAAAAATACTCCTGCTTTTTGGTATAGGATGTTGCCTAGCAATAGTCTGTAGCCCGCTATCTCTCCTACAGCTAATATTAACTGTTGTTTTGGACAGAAGGCCGCTCTGACATAGAATTCCTTCCGTCTTCATACACACTAACTAGTCACAGGAGAAGATGTATGTCACAATGTAGTCAACATGCTATCGGATGGATGATCCGAGACCAATAGCTGCTAGTGACTGTCCTAAAATTATTCTATAGCTGGTGACATTGAGGATTGAACATAGTACCTTGGGATACGTGCCGAACAACGGGAGCCACTCACGAGGAAACCTTTATAGGTGTCTATTTCCTATTTCAATGAATGTTTACGTGCAATTACTATATAGTGTTTCAATAAAAGCTCCAAAAAAAAGTGATTTGGGGTTCCTATTGATATCTAGCTGAGTTATCGACTTTTGATCTGCAAACTTGTGCATATAGAGAACTCGACTAGACTATCTTCCTTAAATGGATTCAGAAGTTTTGAACAAAGTATCTTCGAGATATGAAGCTTTCAAAAAATGCATGTTGTATACACTGTCCATAGAAAAGGGCTCCATATCATGAAAGTCTCACATCTCGAAGAGAATGTGTTCAAAGCTTCTAATTTTTTTTTTTACAAAAGATAGTCTAGTTCAGTTTTCTATCGGCACAAGGTTTCGTATCAAAATTCGAAAATATGAGTTTTTCGAAGATCTGGAAGCCTTGCGAAAAAAATCAATAGCTTAGTTAAATATCAATAGGAACCCAGACCTTTTTATAGTATTTTTATTAGAACAGTCTGTAGTACCTATAGGCAGAAAATTATTAGAATTAGAAAGGGATAGCTGAAGAAGTTCCATTGCCAGGCATGGTAGCCCAAAAAAAGAAAACAGAAAATTCCTTTGTTTTAAAACTAACTTGATTAACAAAAACAATAGGACGATTGAAACAATTTAATCGTGCTATCGAAGATATTGGAATAGCTGTCATATGTAATAACTAAAGAAAATAAAAAAATTTAAAAAAAGAAAGAATTCGTGTTTTTTTTCTTTTTTACTCGAATAAATTGTTTTAATGAATGTGTTCGATTTAAGAATTGAATTAATTTTCCATTTAATATTTGATGAGCTGTTGTTAAAAATTTATGATTTATTGTTGTAAAACGTAGATCAAATGTCCATCCGAGATTTGAACTTAAATCTTGTTGATTCTGATTAGTACTATGCGTCAATGTTACCTAGATATTTTCAAAAAGAATTATTAAAAATAAAAACAAGATATTCTTTTATTATACGAACAGAAAAAGCAAAATTTGGTCCATAATGAATTGTAGATTTAAAGAAATTAAATGAATTTACTTCAGATATTGCTCGGAGATCAGTTGAGTCTATAAAAATTCAAATAATTCGATGAATTTACTAGTTTTATTGTTTTTGTCAATATAAACCTGATAATGATAACGCATAATTTTCAAATAGATGTGTCAATTCAAATGCAGCTCGAAGTTCACTGTGAATATAATCAACTATTTTCGAATATAATTTTGCTAATATCTGATTGCAAATAATTATTGAATTATATGGAGCTAAAATCAATCATAAAAGTAAAAAAAAGAAAAAGAAAATAAGAAGTTACAGAATCTATCATAGAAAATATCACGAGAAAAAATTTGAAATATCTTTTTTTCAATTCAATCAAATGAACTGTTTACTAATTAATGATACAAATTTATTGAAAAGATTTTTTCATGCAAACAATGTAAATACTTTTACTATCGGAGGATTTGTTTCAAGTGATACATCGTTTTTGAGTTCGAACTCTATACATAAGATAAACTCTAGTGAAATATGAAAATTCTAATCATTGTAAGCACTATTTTTATGCTTAATAAAGCAATTGTTGATTTTGTCAAATGAAAAAATTTATCTGTAGCTCTCTAAGATATTTTTTTGCCGTCATTTAAGAGAATGAAAATAAAGCAAAACAAACTTTATAAATGATACTACACTGATACACATAGAGTAAATTATCAAAATGAAATTAGTTTAAATGTTAAATTTTGTGTCCGATAAATCATAGACACAATTAAAGTCCTTCGAGCACTAAATCGCCAACTCTGTTGCAAAAACTTCAGTGTTCCATGCTTGAAAATTCAAAATATTACAATCATTGACTTTTATACTAACCAATTCTGAAAATTTTCTCCACGTGTATCAATGTAATATCATTCATAAACAGTGATCGATCTAGGATTTTTATGATGCAAGGCGATCGTGATCATAAAACGTGTATTGAGGCTCATTAGAAGTAGTGTCAGCTCATTTTATAGCCTTTTCTACTAGGAAAAACTGACAAAAATCTTTTTGAAAGTAGGCGATCGCCTCCTGATTTGGCCACTGTTCATCAAGTTTGTTTTGATGTCTTATTTCTATTCTCTTCAGTGACAAATGAAAATTATCTTAGAGACCTGCATATTTATTTTTCTTTCTTGAAAATAAGTCAAATTTCTTTAGTGAACAGCTGTGAAGTCGGGAAAAGTTTGTAGCGCAGTTCAGCCCCCTATTTTTTCCGCCACTATTACTGCGCTCAACAATATGTACTTAATAATAGTGTATTTGTTTACGTTATTCGTATGGAAAAAAAAGACTAACAAAAAAAGTCAGCCCATTCGAGCGAATCATAGTGAAACTACTTCAAATTTTTTTCCTCATAGTGTTATTTATAGTTCCGTTTTTATATAAATTAATCTGCTTACTTTTTATAATGGAATTGTGAAAATAATTATTATTAGGTAAATTTAACTAAACACAAAAACATAATGCATTAAATTAAGAATGAAAGAAAGAAGAAATCGAATATTAAATTACCTCTAGTGTCCATTGTCGTTCACTATGTTTATGTGCATGATTTGTTTCACGTAATGCATGTACTAATCGAATAGTACATGATAAAATACGAGGCCAAAAACATTCATTTACATAATTTGAAATTTCTATATTTGACGAGAATGAATCATCACCCGTTGATGTTCTATTTAAATAATTATTTAAAATATTCTTTTGTTTTTATTTCTTTGTTTTTCTATAAAAAGATCTTACCGAACAATATCGAGATATGGAATACCTGTCCATGGACTATAAATAATACCTTTACATATGGTTTTTTTACGTTGAAACTAAAGTAAAACAAACAATTTTTGATAAATAAAAACAAACAAAAAATATACAAAAGATTTACTTCTTCTTTTAATAATGTAAATGTAAGCATTTCATCATAATAATTAACTAATTTTAATAATAATTTAAGTGAAAGAACTGATGTCTTAAAAATGAAAATTCATGAAAATGAAATTAAAATATTTTTATTTTATTTACTGATCTTGCTTGCTTAATTCCTGTATCATCTTCGATGGTTTCTTTCATTTTTCGAAATTGAAATGTATTTTTAAACTAAATAAGTTCAATATTTCATTATAACAAACAAGAAAAAAAATTTATTCATCAACAAACTTCAATAAATTCTTTTCTTAAAAATGCTGTTGGATCTAATGGACATAGAACAATTGGTTCTAACATCCATTTCGCACATTCATCATTTGGCATCATTGTTTGTTGATTATATTGCAAATTTTGTTGTTGAATTACCAATGGATCATGAATTGATGAACGCTTTTCCACAATTAATAAATAATATTGAACTAATAATTGATTTACATCAGATACATGCACAAGCTGAAACGAAAAAAAAAATCAAATTATTTAAAACAGCTGTTAGCATAATCCCTATGGGATTAAAATATGAAACACGATGTAACTGCTGTTGCTAATCACTGTGAGATTGTTGTATTGGGATAGATATCTTCAACATCATTTTATTTAGTCCTTCAGAAATGCAATAGAGCAGTAGTTCATAGATTGTAACGAGACGTTATTTGTATACAATCTTCGATCGTATATTGAGAGGAGAACAATAAGAACTTCATTATTGAAGTTGCGTGACCTCTGCCGAAGTACCGTGAAGTCTTGAAGTCTGTTGTTTCTGCCTCGTCGTATATTAACAATGTCTGTCACATGGAAGGGCATGTTTTCTTAGAAATTTGTCACGGTATCTGACATTTCAATAGCTAAGTCTGTCACGATCTGTGGAGAGTTCAAATTACTACATCTATTACTTTTAGATTGTGTTTAACAAAATAAAAACAACGAATATTGTTTTTATTTTCTTACATAAAACTTACAATATAATATCCTTCATTATGTATTAATTCAATATAAATACCATTATTCATAAATGGCATAATTAATTCATGTTTTGGATTTAATGATGGTATACGTGTATAAACATGACAATTAATATGAGCAAGAAGAGACGGAATACGTTGTTGTATTAACCAAATTCTAAAAAAAAAATATTTTATTTTATTAAATTTAAAAAAATATATTTTTTGCTTTTTTCATACTTAAATAAATTAATCGCATCAATTAAATTTCCTGGATCACGATTAAGTGCATATTCAATTTGTTGTGAATATCGAATTTCTTAATTTAGAAAATTTCAATAATATAAAAATAATCTTTTCGATTTGATTACCCATATAAGAAACAACTTTATATAAACCCGAAAATGGACTTATTGATATAAATAGAATTTCTTCGGATGTACTTTCAGGTAATAATTCACATTTTAATGCTGGAATTGATGGATCGATTTCAACTAAATATTAAAAATATTGATTAAAAAAATCTAATTAAATAATGAATGAATCATATTTACATTCTAGTTTTGAAACATTTAAAAGCTCTAACAAAATGTAAAAATATTTCCTGTAGAAAACTACGAACTTTCATTTATCAAGCCAGACGTACAGAATCTATTGGTGTACACCAACGTGCATCATGAGAAATCTTTCTCTTCTAGCAAAAAAAAAATGCACATACTTCTGTGATTTATTTGTTGATAGAAACTATCGAAACCGTTTCTATGAATTAATGATTAATAAGAATTAGTTTTTCTGTATAAAATAAATCGATTTCTTTTTTATTCTCTCCGAAAGTGTATGAGTGAAAAAAAGAACCCGACTTTTTCTTTATTTTGATAGCTAGAAAAATTTTCATTTAAGTAGATTATGCATCGATATTTCGAATAGTTACCAATTACTCAAGTAGATATATATTTAATAATTACTAAAGCTATATAAAAGTAACTCTTAAATGTTTCAAAACTAAAATATAATTATATTTAGTTTTAATTTCATCTAAAAAGACTTTTACAAAGTAATAAATCTGATTTCAACAAGCAAGATTTATTTAGATTAGACCAATGCTAAAATCATTGTTATCTATGAGTCTTTGTTCATAAATTATGAATATTTTCGTGAGTTTTCAACAAAAGGCTATATTGCCTTCTCCGCTTCCTAGATCAAGATCACAAATGAAATTTTTCGTAGAAATAATTTATCATAGAAGTTTCCGAATATTTAGTATCTTCTATCCTGACATAAAAATTTAACGAAACTTGCTTTTTCACATAAAAAATTTGCAATATTGGCATTTCAGGATAGCAAAATACTAGAAAATCAGGCATTCTCATGATGAGCTAACTCCATTGAGAGTTGGATTAGTGTCAATTTTGCAAGATGTTTTGAAGAAGACTATGACACTTTTTTGAAAAAACTAATCGACAAAAATTCTTTTCTATTTTCGGTAATCTCAATAAGCTCTACCTAATGAAGTAAGACTCATAATAAGAATGATTTATTCGATTTCTTTATAAGTGTTAAAAACATACTATTTGCTGAAGTAGTCGTTAAAATTGCTTCTTTCAATTCCTGAAAACAATTTATATTAACGAAAAATTTTGGTTTTTTCTTGTAAGATAACAAACTTCAAATCGACGTTGACATCGTGCATAAATTGTTCGATTAAGAATTTCTTCCATAGTAAATGTTGATTTCTAAATATTAAATCAAATAATAGAAAAACAAATTAATGATTTTTTTTTTACTTCTAATATTTGCAAAATTGCCACACTATCTTCAATAGGTAATGGTGGCCAATGAATTATTTGAAATTTTCCATCATCATCACATAATATTGTCATACCAATATCTAAATTATTTCGAATTAATTTTAAACATAAATTATAGTTAAATGTATTAACCTCGAATTTTTTCATTTATCATTGTCTTTTTTTGTTGATTATTAAGATTATTTAAATTATATTCTTTCCAATATTCAATACTAAGACTTTTACATGGTATATAACTTGATAAATATAAATGTTTTTGTTTTAAACTTCGATTACGTATCCGAATAGCCTAGAAAAGTAATACTTTATTTATCGATGTATTTAGCAAATTTCATTTATTTTTTACTTGTTCATTTAAAATATGCAAACGTAATGATTGACAATAATAATCTATTATATAGAGAAAAAAACAATAGGTAATATGTTTTAGAAATAAATAATAAAAATAACATACGCAAATATCGATAAAGTTCAACTAATGGATTTTCTGATTCAGCAAGCCAACTTTGAATATAATTTGTTAATGCTTGCATCTATATAATAGAATTCCTTGTATTATTTTTTTTCAATAATACATTTCAAATTACCTGTACACAATGGACAAGTTCTTGTTCTACAAAGAAAAATAAGCTGTTAGTATAAATCCTATAGAATTATAATGTCAAAACATGATACACCTGCCGTTATTAATCATACGAACATTATTATATTGGGACATATTTCTTTACTTTTTCGTTTACTTAGTCCTCGATAAATGTAACAAGGAAGCGTTGCTAAGACGTCTGTAACGAAGATTTCCTCTTCCAACTATAAATGATGTTGCCAACTCTTCATGATATGAACAGGTTTTAAAAAAACAAACGAGGTTTGAGTATACAATAACGAATCTGCATTGACAAACAATTTGCAGATTCGTTAGATGGCTCTGTAACGAAAATCATTCCTCATCGTACTACATTAAAATCAACACTGGATATTACTACTTGACGGCAAATGATAACCGTAGAATTATTGACGAAAACAACAGAAATGAATATGTATGCCCAAATAAAAGTTGTGGTAAACTATTAAAACTACAATGCATAGGAAACCATGGTTGCAAGAATCAGGATTTGGAGTTTAGTGACCAATATCTGACTTTAGGTTGCTATGTCTTATAATCACTGTCACTGAAACTAGATGATCTGAAATTGACTAACAACGCAAGTCCTTTTCTCCGAGATGTATCTTTTTGTCATTCATACTTGTCTCTGTATCTACCAATCATAAAATGCTTGCGAATCATATTTTTGATGGATACTTCTATGGGTAGACAACCACAAAAACCACAAGATTCTCAACAGACTTTTTCGTCTGTAGAACTTTGTAGAACTTCTTGAGTTGATCATTTTAGTAACAAAAATATTGAAAAACTTCGGTTAATGCTGATTGTTACTAAATGGTAGTTGATAAATATACTCTACAGACGAAAAAAACGTCTTCTTAAAGCCTTGTGTTTTTTTTTGTTTCGGTTGATCATCCATGGGAGTATCTATCAAAAATACGATTTGCAAGCAGTTTATTGTTGGTAGTATGTATTGTCATCTGTTCCAGTGTGTTCTTATTTCTTTAAATTTTATTTATTTGTTTTTCTTCGTTTTAGTTTTGATTTTTTTTTTGTTTTTCATCCAAACTGGTTTTATCAGTATTGATAATCTGTCTATCTGTAGGAAGTCCAAATATCTACTCCCATACTTCAAGATTCCTTTTAAATCACATTTCATAAAAAAAGTTCACTTGATTCTTTTTGTCTTTCTACTCTCTAATAAAGTCTAAAATGCGTTTTAATGTTGAAAACTGACTATTGATAAATGACTACGATTATTTTTCTGCATACCTGGTTCTTCAGGATCACGTAAAAATAATTTTGTTTTATAAACGTGCCATGAAGCAAAGAGATTATCACTTTTTATGCCTAATTTAACTTCAAATTCTCCATGAACAGCTAATGTTACTATTCCATTTTCTATAAAACAAAAACAAACAATAAATCATATAAAAAATTCGTTTTTTTGAACATACTAATTGTGACATTAGTAATTTGAATAGGTAATTCTGCAATAGCTAATCTTGCTGTAAGAATTTGTTGAAGACGTGGTAAAATTTCTTGTCGTTCACTTTCACTAGCTGGTATAAAAGGAGTTGTTCCTTCCTAAAAATCATTTTTAATATTCGACTGAAAAAAAACTTTTTTTTTTCTCTTCAACAAACCGATAATCGGTCAGGTAGGAAATGAACTGAACCAAGAGTTAATGCATCAATAGCATCTGTTATAGGAAAATTCGGTAATCTAAAAAATATATTTATTTTATTTATAAATCGTTACTTAAATTTAAATTTACCTTGCATCAAGAAGTTTAATACGTGCTAATTGAGCTAAACAATCCGATGTTTCACGTATAAGTCGAGCACGATTTTCCAAAAAATGTTGTATAGTCTGTTATAGAAAATAAATATATAAACTAGTCTTATAAAAAACAAAATTTTTACTTCGCATGCATTCACTTTGCCTGCTGTAGTTGCCCATTTAACTACGGCTAAAATTCGTATAAATAATTGACGAGTACGACAAGCAAATTTTACTAATTCTTTTTTTCTAATAAAAAGAAAACAAAGATTTTTCATTTAAATATGTTTCTTTTTGTTTTAAATATTTACCTTTCTAGATTCGTTTTGCTTGGTAAACTGAAATGAAGAATAAAAAAATTCTTGATGAAACTATGAATTTGATAAAAGCTAAATGACACATACACATCTGCCATTGTATATAGTTCATGATAAGTTTTTTGTACAGCTGCTTCAAGTAAATGAGATAATGGAGTTTTATCATGCATTGGTAATATTGGAGGATTATTACTACTTGTCGATGGACCAGCAGCCATGATTATGCTGGTTTTAAAATAAGTTTATCTAAAGATTTTTATATGGTTTTTCTTTTCAATATTTTGAGTCGAACATTTTTGTTGAACGAATAAATTAACTTAATGCGAAAAAAAAGAAAGAGAAAGGAAATCATTTTATTTGTCGGTGGTAAAGTCAATAAAAAATTAAGTCTCAACTCTTTATTTTTCGACTGTTATTTAGTGACATCTAGTTTTTATTTTGCAAGTGATCGAACTAATATACAATTTATTGATCAATGTATTACCGAGAATTACATGTTTTTTTTAATTGATTATAAATTATCTTAATATTCTGGAAAATTGCTAATGGTATGAATGAAGGATGCTGAGAAATCCCCAGTAATGGCTTTTTTCCACTCTGGTAGTAAAGAAGGTTTTTCTCTTTCGGAGACAAAGATGTTTGTCTCTTACCTGTAATTGTGAAATAATCAAGTATAAAAGTAAATAATTGCACGATGAAGTAAAAAAAATAGAAAGAGAAAAATGAAGCGGTGTCTGTCTGCCTATTGTGATTTGTTGAGTCTATTTTTCTTTTTCTCTCTCTTTCTCTTTTTTTTTGTAGTCAATCCATAAAAGGTGTATCATGGAAAGATTTTGCTGGCATTTTTAATTTAACATAAATTAACTCATCGGTTTTAACTATCGTCGGTTAAAAGTGGGATATTTCATATGGTAATGGCTCGTTCGTATGAAGTTATTACCATTATTGATATACAATCACTCGACGCTCCCATTAACGATGAAGTCAAAGTTCAAAAATTAAATGGATCTAGGAACATTTTGTCTATATGTTTACCAATGTGTACATAAATTGGCTATTAATATGTTTTATTTGTCGTATTAATCTACATCAATTATGGTTATTAGGAAATTTTAAACAAAAAAAAAATATTAAATGAAGAAAAATGAGTTAAAAAAATGCTGTGTTAAATTTTTTAATTAATATACAATTTAACTGAAAACAATTAAAAAAAACAAGTTAATCAAAAAACGATTACACTATGTAGTCGACAAAAAAACTGCAAAATTAAAAAAAAAGTTAAAAAAATATCAATTTAAAACAAAAACATGATTGCGAATCGTGGTCGCAAAAAAAAATGATAAAATGGGAAAATCCAAAAAAACAAGTTAACCAAAAACGATAATGTATCGAAAAAAAAATTGAAAAATAAAAAAAAATAAAAAAAAAAATTGCATCTGCTTCGTTAACATTCCTGTCACCTCTACGTGGTGAAGCAGACTAGTACTTGTTCGTTCTGATAGACGTTCAAGGAAGCTAAGAACAGGAATATTTGAACATCAAAAAACATCTTAAAAGTTTTCTTTCTTATGAAAAGTCTATCAATTCATGACATTATTTCATACCTACTCGATAAGTACGTATTATTTTTTAAAACATTTCAATCATATTGTGTACTCTGTTTGGAAAAAAAAGAAATCACCTTTGTCTGCATAGATGAAATACAAAACTAAAACTTCAAAAACTTGCACAAACAAATCGAGTACAAAGTCCAGAAATAAATGCAGATGTCATTAGTCAATGGCCGCGCTAGTTATTTAAAAAAAGTTTGAAAAAGAAACAGCTGAATATGGGTTTTGAATGTAACATACGATTTCATAGAAAGTCTATATTAGGAAAAAGAATCTGATTTTAATATGTATAGAAGAATCATTGTGAATAGAATATTTATTTTTGATATCTTTTTTTCTATCGTAATTCATTTTAATGATCATGAATCATTAAATAAAATAAAATAAGTTATCAACTGGGTGAGACAAATAAATGAAAATGTATTTCTAAAGAAAAGTAAATTAATAAAAGTTTCCACAAATCAGACAAGTTTGAAGTGTTTTCAATATGACTCTTTGCTTTTTTACGCAATAAGCATATTATTCTTAAAATAATTTTCATACGTCACGCCTTATTGCACAACTCAGTAGAAATAGTTGTGCGTAGGAAAGACATACGTGCTTTTCTTTTCAGTGGATATTTCCAGTTTGTATTCAAATTTATTTTAGATACAAAAATAAATCTCTGAGTATTCAATTGATTAATAACTTTTTCTATATGCTCAAAATACAAAATATTCATCTAATGACTTGAAAGAAATGTCACGATAAAATATGTCGAACAAGAAAAACGACTTCGTGTTTATACTCACAAACATAAGTAACAATCAAAAGAGTTATTTAAAAAGTCTCTTGTTTCATTATTTCAACAAGAAAAATACAACTCATATTTTCACATCTCATTATTGATTAATTGATCAAAGCTTTTTTCTTTCAGTGTTTTATATTTTGGAATATTTGAAATTTGATAGAACATTGAGTTCTACATGCTTTGATGCTAATACCATGGCTCAAATAATAACTTTAATATCATAATATGTCATTCTTTCTAAATTTATTTTACCAATAAATGTAATAAAATTAATTTCACGTGGATCTGCTCGATCAGAAGGCGATGCTTCTTTAACTTTATTGACAATATGAAAATGTTGTTGATATTTAAATATTAATCAATGATCATCATAAAATTTACTCTTATGTAATTGATATAATCTAGTTTTGAATGGATTTTCATTATTTATTTGATCAGTTTGAGTTGTATAAATATATTGCATAAAGATACCATTTGATATTGATGATATTGTTGTTGTTGTTGAATCCATTAGTGGATGTCTGTTTTTGATTAAAATCGACTTGGTCAATGATTATTCAGTTTATGGTCATTTTCTTCACCTGATGTTATCAGAAATTCTAAATAAAATTTTATATTTTTTTTTAATTTAATTTTTGTCTTGTAAAATACTGGGTGCTTTTTCTTCAATTGTAGTTAATGATTCTTGTAATAGTAATAATTATTCTGAACGACGTACTACTTTGAAAACGATTGAACTCATCAATTGTATTAATTTACTCGCATGCTTATGTTGGAGATTTGTCACATCAATTTCATTTACTTGTAAAATATGATCTTCATACCTAAGATCAGCTAAATTTGCTTGGAAATCTGATGGAATATAACTAACAAAATATACCTTTGATGCCATATATCGACTTCCGGAATGAATGAATGAAAATGAAGTCCAGTCGCTTCCAGAACAGTAATATAACGAATTTAACCTTGTTCTAACAATATTTTAAAATAATAATAAGAAGATTATCTCTTAACTTAAGCAAGATAAAACAATATAATATGATCTAGAAAATTTTCCAAATATATCGAATTTATAAATGATACTAATCATTATGCTCCTCGTCTGATTGCATAGATATTTTATTAGAAATAGTAGAATAAGTCATCGTTTTCGTATACAACTTAATTAAAAAGAAAATATGAAAAATACTATGTAAATAATATAATAGAAACAAAATGACAGGTAATCAGTTAAATATTTTTAAGAAAAGATTATTATCTTTGTTTCTCTCATATGACGATATATAGGTACAAATGTGTAGTCTGTAAATTCAGCAGTGTATGGATAATAAATAAATCAAAATATCCGTAGCGAACAAAATAACAACTAATAATAATTTTACTTAAGAATATTCAAGTTTATGAAGAATAGGAGCAAAAAAAAAAACAATGTCAAAGTATATTCAATAGGTGAAAATTTAAATATAAATAATATGTAAGAAAATTTTGTAATAACGGGTGGGCCAGAATAAATTATACTGTTTGTATTTTGAATATTTTCCCTTTATTCTTCATATGATTCAAACACTTTTTTATATCAAAAGATAGCGCTGGAAATTCTCTACGAAAATGGAAATGATTGAACCCAAAAACTATTCTAGATATATACGAAAAAAGATAAAAACTAAAAACATGAAAAAACCTGGAAAAATTAACCGGCTGGGCACAACGAACGGCCGCACTTTGCGTCCCATTTATATCATTTCGCCCTATTAGAAAAACAAAATATACCAAAAGATGCAGCGTGAAAAGCTCTTCAATTTACACACGACCGATTATTTTATAGTTGCATTTTTTGTTTTCAAAATGGACGAAATTTTGAGTGATCAGATTTCGACCGTGCGAAAATGGAATGTTTTTTTTGATACAAGCTGAGTTCATTTTTTTAATTTCATCGTATCATTGCTTGATATGCTTTTTTTTCAAAAGAATAAAATACACCACAAGATGCAGCGTGAAAAGCTCTACAATTTACAAAGAACAAGTATGAAAAGATGAAATAAAAAAAAACGAATTCAGCTTGTACCAAAAGAATATGCCGTTTTTGCACGGTCGAAATTTGT